AGAAATATGTCCACATAGAACAACCAGATATGGTGTCTAATTTAAACTAGTCTAAGCCATTCAAACAAACTCATATTTCTGGCATGAAGTATCTAGTTGAGCTGCCTATCCTGACTAAATCAATAAAAATTGGTGCCAAACTTCTGTTTTATTATGTAGTGTATTGGCACAGATAAGTTATTCTTGTTTTTAAAAAAATAGGTACTTGAGTACAAATGGAGCCATTAGGCTTTCTCCCAGGATCTCCTTGGAAGCTTCTAGAATGCTAATACACACCAGTGATGTTTGGTAAGATTGGAATTTCAATTTAGGACACAGAGAATGTGTCTTACAGGAGCACTGGCACAACTCAGAAACACAGCTCAAGTACAAAAGTCTAACTTAGATTTCTCAGTTTAAATGTGACTTTGAGGGCTGAGAGTGTAGCTTAGTGGTACAATGCTTTTCTTAAATGCACAGATCGTGATCATAGGTTTGAGTCTAAGCTCTGCACTTTGGAACACAGGATATAACACAATGTGAATTCAGTGTGATTAAATGCATAGCATTTTCTCACTTCTATCAAAAAAAATTTAATCTAAGAAATGAAGTAATGATTTCAACCAATTTCATTTCTGTCAGCATATACCCTGTGGCACATTGGACTCGTAGGAGTCTTAGCTCTTATCCAGGATTGTGTTAAGACAGGAGCCAGAGGGATATAATTTAGCTTTGCCAAAGATCTTTTAAGGTGTTAGTCTGAGGGGGAGTAATTTCTTTTTTGTTGTTGATGTTGTTGATATTTTCAAAGCTGGATATACTTATTTTCCCAGAAACAATTTGGTTGGTTCTTTTACACAAAATAATGGGACCCACAGAGAGTGAGTTGATTTTCTGTTGAATGTTTGAATGTACTCAGCATGTGTGCCTTTCACTCTCCATTGAGGATTTTTTTAAATGTATATTTTGTTATTGTAAAGATACTGTGCAGAGGGGTTAGAGTTACATGGGTAAGGTAATGAGTACATTTCCTATTGAGCATTGTTACCCCCTGCTTTGTTTTTCTCCTACCATCTCCTCCCTCCCCACCTCCCCAACTCTTCCCTCTCCACCGGCCCCTGAAGTTGTAAAGTTCATTTTCTTTCTTTTTATTATTATCATTATCTTTAAGTAGTTGTGCAAAGAAGTTTCCACTCTACAAAACAGTATATGAGTACAAAGTGTCTGACAGCATTGTGAGAGGAGCAATTTCTAAACTACATAGTAATTTAGATCCTCATGGCAAATTAGAAATGAGTGACTCAGTGAGAATGTCCTTCATGGTTTTGAGTGACAAGGTTATAAACCAAAGGTGGTGGATATGACCCAGTCACAATAGAAAGAGGAGAACTTTCCAAATTACAAAGACCCCTAAAGGGTCCTCCTATGTGTAGGAAGATGTTAACTGTGCTGGTGGTGGGGCACAAAGTAAGGCTTTATTTTCTAGAAAGGAAAGGTGATCACAACTGTTCCCAGTTGTCCATCGGGCAACATATATGTGTAACGGATATACGTGTGTGTGTGTGTGTGTGTGTGTGTGTGTGTGTGTGTATGAAGTTGCCCTGTGGAGCATTTTCTGAATGAGAAATGCTTTCTATGGCACCATGACCTCTATCTTACTATGATGCCTTTGCCTACTGCCGCAAAGACCAGAACAGCTAAAACACAAGATAGCCATATCCAGAAGAGGGAAAGGAGAGCCTTCCCAATAGCCATTCCTTTAACCAGCAATAAACATGATGTTCTATAGTTAATTCTGTGGGATGAAATAAGCTTTGGTACAGGGATGTCACAGGTTGAGTTGAAAAGCAGTGGATAACCTGGTGAGTGTGTAAATGCTCAAAATCGGTACATTCTCAATACTGGTAGCACAGACATCCAAATGTGATTTCAGATAGTGATAGTCTCTGGGTCAAACTGGGCTAGACTTTGCTTGGCATGCAGTATTATGTGAATTGTAACAACACTGAGAAGTCTGGAGGATCTTGGTTTGGATAATGAGTTTCTTTTGAAGAAAGGGAAAATATGGCCTTTGATGACACATAACAACAGCTGGATGGAACTGGTTAGTCATATTTTTTGGCTGCCAAGTCTTCTTGTTCCCCTTTTTTCTGCAGGTGACCACTCCCCACTTATCATCACACTTGCCCCATTCTTTCTTTTGTTGAAGACAACTATTTTTTCTGCATCCATGACTTGATCAAAGTAGGAAAACAAAACGTAGCCTAGAAGGGCAGCTTCATAGATAGATAGATAGATAGATAGATCTACCTATATATATAGAGAGATAGATAGATAGATAGATAGATTATCTATACACACACATACACATCTATATGTATATCCGTTATACATATAAGTTGCCCAATGGACAACTGGGAACATTTGTGATCACATTCCTTTCTAGAATAATAAAACCTTACGTTGTGCCTCCCTCCCCCCTCAGGCAACACAGTTAACATCTTCCTACACATAGGAGACCCTTTAGGGGTCTTTGTAATTTGGAAAAGTTCTCCTCTCTCTATTCTTATTGGGTCATATCCACCACCTTTGGTTTATAACCTTTTCACTCAAAACCTTGAAGGACATTCTCACTGAGTCACTCATTCTAATTTACCATGAGTATCTAAATTACTATGTAGTTTAGAAATTACTCCTCTCAGACCTTAAAAGATCTTTGGCAAAGCTAAATTATATCCCTCTGGCTCCTGTCTTAACACAATCCTGGGTAAGAGCTAAGACTCCTACTGGTCCAATTTGGTAAAGATTCCCATTTTGCAAGTAGATTATATTATAAAAGTTCATTTTATATGGGTTTCTGGAAACTTACTTATCTTTAAAAACAATATGAATGTTGACAAATTCTCCATCATTTGACCAAAAGTTTTTTTTAAAGCATAGCAAGAAATTGCATCAGAGTATTTTGTTTCTCTGCAAAATTACTCAACCAAAGCTCTTGTTCCTTCAATAAAGTTGATTATTAAGTATTTAAAGCACCAGGGAATTCCACTTCAGGGTATATGTCAATTGAGATTATTCTATGAGGAAGTAATGCCATATTTAACTGCATCCTGTAAAGTCTTTTCAGCACAAGAAAGCAGAAACTCTCTCATACAGGTCCCACACCAGAAGAGACAGTGTGCAGGAATTTGGGAGCCCTCAGTGAGGGTCCTGAAGAACAAACACATTTTTAGTTTACACTACTTGCCATTAGGGATGATGTAGAGTGATGCATTGTTCTTCTAAATAAAATTTAGATATGGGTTTTGACCTGTATATGTTTTCAACAAAGAATATACTTTTACAAAAATATGCTCTCTTGTCAACATTTACTACAGGTTCTGAATTAAGTATTATGGCTGGGCCGGGCGCCGGTGGCTCACACCTGTAATCCTAGCTACTCAGGAGGCTGAGATCTGAGGATTGTGGTTCAAAGCCAGCCTGGGCAGGAAAGACCGTGAGACTCCTATCTCCAATAAAACTGCTAGAAAAACGGAAATGGGGCTGTAGCTCAAGTGGTAGAGCACTTGCCTTGAGCTGAAGAACTGAGGGACATTGCCCAGACCCAGAGTTCACGCCCCATGACTGAGAAAAAAATACAAAAAAAAAAAAAAAAAGAATTGCGGCTGGGCAATAGACCACTCCAGCTGTACAAAACAAGTACCCTAAAGGTCTACAGGATTGTTTCATGGGCAATTCATCCTTCAATGTGAGCTTGTATACATGTAATGACTTGCTTAAGGCCCTGGACAAGTGGAAGCCAGGAAGAGATTTGCAAAGCATGGAGGAAAAATCTGACATAGTTCCTGTCCAAGTAATGACCAATGCACCAAGGTATGTACTAGGCAGAATGTTTGTCCATGACCTTTGAGTTGAATTGTGAAGTTCTCACTATGCAGAGAGCTTGAAGAGGGATTACAGATCTCTCTGCGAACTCCCTGGAAGAGAGAGAATGATGCTCAGACTCAGCTCACCTAGAGATGAGGTGGTCAGTCAGACAAGAGGGGTCAGTCAGACCAGGGGTAGAAAAGAACAGGGTCAGGAATACCTGAGGTCTTTGCTTTAACTACAAACCCAGACACCACCCTCCTGGTGGGGCAGTGTCTATGAAAATTCCTTTTCCCAGTCAGAGATGTGCTGTGGGGAAAGAGAAGAGTGGGCAGGAAGGAATGGATAGTAACATATTTCTTCTACTGCTCGGCCTTATCAGTATTTTTAATCCACATGTGTAAATGATTTGACTTTTTCCATTGGGGGAGTAAACTGCTTTATCCTATCCTGCACAGCTTCCACTGGTTAAAAATCCCAGTGGTGATGGACAAGATAACCAATGGGGGAAATCTCCCGCCATCCCTCCCCCGCACCATTTTCCCACCAGCCTAAAAGGAATGGGGTTGGGGAGGGGCAGTTGGAGGAGGAACCAAAATCATGCGGGTATACCAGGAAAAGATAAAGTGTTGGTGGCAGCAGAGTTGGTGGTCGTGTTGTGGGCATTACCTCTTGATGAGGCTTCCAAGAAGGCTCCCGCTCAAGTCCTGGTGGCTCTGAGAACAAGCATTCTTGCATCAATAGCTAATAGGCTGTCCAACCAGATGTTATCTGGGTGGGATAAGAGGGTGAGAAAACAGACCTGTTGTACGCTGTTGTCAACTACATCACTGTGGTCAGAGAAGGCTGGTGGTGTGGTGTTTAGCAGGGCACCTCTTTCATGGTGAGGCAAAACAGATTACGTGGCTGTTTAAGTATCCATTTCCTCTTGTGATTGGTAAAATATGAGAGTTATAATCATTCATGCATTACTAAAGCCTCCTTTCCGTCATTCTGAAGGGACTTTTATTTTCTAGAACAGAGCATGCATCCAGCAGAAACCTGAAGCACTTGCTTTTCTAAGTGATCTTTTGCCATAAGCACACTTTACACAACAACAACAACAAGCAACAACATCAAAACAAAACAAAACAAAAAAACCCTGTGAATGATACCTGTGACAAGACTGGAGATGATAAGTGGTAAGACCAGCATCTGTAACATCCTCATCAGAAGCTCCCCAGGAAAAGAGAAGTACTTGACTTGTCGGTAACTCATTTTGTAGGGCCGGAGGCTAAATCCAAGGATTGTCCCTAAAAGAGGAAAGAAAAAAAAAGAGGAAGGAAAATTGAGTGTTTTAATTTTCACCTCCCCTCCCCCAAACTAAAGTAACAGACCTAGAAAAATGAGCAGGTAAGACTCGTGTCTGACAAGAGTAACATTTTTTTAAGAAGTAAATATTTGTACAGCTTTGGGAACAGGGGTGCATGTATCTTTACACTCATTATCCAGAAGGGTTTGGCTGAATCCAAGCCTTCAAATAGAACTCACAGAAAAATCATTTCTGGTCTGAGCACATGAAAAATTTCTTTGTTTCACTTGAGTGCAGTAAGAACCCATTTTGACATGCCTTAGTGCAGAAGAACAAAGACTTGGGCTCAATTAGAAAATAAATGATGTATACACACACACACACACAGACACAGACACCCCCCCCCCACACACAAGGTGCTATAAGAAGAATGACCTTATGATATAATGGTCGTCTACAACAGCAGATGCTAGAACTGATAGCATAACTACTTATAATGGAGAGCATGAGTTAATTTTTTTCCCCAATTAAAACCTCTTCGTGCTTATTTTTAATGTGTTTTCACCATCTCCCTGTCTGCACACCACATTTTCTCCCTCTGTCTACATGGTCTTGACATTGCCTTGGCAACCGTATTGTCCAAACTTGTTAGCTGTTGGCAAGAGAAAACCTTAAAGGAGCAGAAACTCCCCCACCTCCATCCTCAAATTTCCAGTTGAAAACTTGAGGGAAAAGCAAAAGTAATTTCCTGCTTATTTTTTTTCCATTTTCTTTCTAAATTTCAAATGTATTTGTAGCATGATAACTTTATAGGTAAATCAAATGATTTCTGACACCTGTTGACATGTTTAGAATTGAGCAAAAGGACACTTCCTTCCCTCTCTCCTTTCCCTAATTTACTTTTATTGCCCAACAAAATTTACTTATTCCAATATTGTAACTATTAAAAATAATTGTCCTGTACTGAAATATGTGATTTCAATTTTTTTTAAGTTCAAGTAAACTAGAGAGAGAGAGAGAGAGCGAGTGAAAGAGAGAGACAGAGAGAGTGAGAGAGATAGAGAGAGACAGAGACAGAGGTAAAGAGAGAGAGAGAAAGAGACAGAGACAGTCAGAGAAAGGGAGAAAAGAAAAAGCTATGGAGACTCAAAACTTTTCTGAAGCATACAAATAGTCCTTTACCAAAACTGAACTTTCCTAACTTCTTATGAAATGGGCTTTTTTTTCTCTTATGAAATGGGACACAAAGTTCATTTCAATGATCACTACAATTCCAGTTTCATTTCTGAGTTTCAGCAACTGTGAAATATTCATTTTCTAAGTATAGAGCAATGAGCAATATCTTAGTAAGTGGATGAATGTATGTGACCAGAAAAACCTAGCTGACCAAGTTCTCAGGGCCCTCAGGAAAACACTGACTGTTTTCTTTCTTTCTTTTTTCTCTTTTTTTAATTGTAAAAGTGATGTACAGAGGGATTACAGTTAAATAAGTCAGATAATGAGTACATTTCTTTTTTTAACAGTATGTCATCCTCTCCCTCATTTTCTCCTAGTTTTTCCCCTCCCTACCCTCTCTCCCCCAAGTTGTATAGTTCATTTCCAACATAGTGTCTAGTGAGTATCACTGCTGAATTGGTTCACCCTTTGTCCCACCATTTCTGTGCTTCCCCTTCCCCTCCCCAATCAGATAAACTTTTTTTTTTGTTGTTGTTGTTGTTTTTTTCCGGTCGTGGGACTTGAAATCTGGGCCTGGGCGCTGTCCCTCAGCTCTTCAGCTCAAGGCTAGCACTCTACCACTTGAGCCACAGCACCACTTCTGATTTTCTGAATGGTCCATTGGAGGTAAGAGTCTCACAGACTTTCCTGCCAGGGCAGGCTTTGAATCGTGATCCTCAGGTCTCAGCCTCCTGAGTAGCTAGGATTACAGGTGTGAGCCATGGTGCCCAGCCTTACATACAAGACAAAGGGTACAGAAATCAAAAACAACGACAAAAGAAAAAAAAAAAACAGAAGAAAAAGAAGAGAACCTCAAACAGTACAAAAACAACAACAATAACTCATTTCTATTTCTTGGAGTTCATTTTGATAAGCATCATTTTATATGATCATATACACACAGCTAAACCTAAAAAGGGAAATGAAAGCAGATGTAAGGAAATGGAAAAAACCTCCCATGCTCCTGGATTGGAAGGTTTAACATTGTGAAACTGGCAATGCTGCTCAAAGCGATCTACAATTTCAATACAGTGCACATCACAATCCCAACAACATTCTTCAGTGATACAGAAGAAGCAATCCAAAAATTCATATGGAATAATTGAAGACCCCAAATGGCAAAACAATCCTTAGCAGGAAGACTAGTGCTGAAGGAATGTCAATACCAAACTTCAAATCCTATTACAAAGCTATAGTAATAAAAACAGGTTGGGACTGGCACAAGGATAGGCCTTAGGACCTATGGAATAGCATAGAAAACCCAGAAATGAACCCACAGACCTACAGCCACCTAAATATTTGACAAGAATGCCAAAAGCACAGGATGGAAGAAAGACATCCTCTTCAACAAATGGTGCTGGCAGAATTGGTTATACGCATGCCAAAAACTGAAGCTAGATCCTTTTATATCATCCTATTCCAGAATCAATTCCAAATGGACCAAAGACTTCAATGTACGACCAGATACCTTATTACAGGGAGGGATAGGGGAAAACCTAGGGCTCCTTGGCACAGGTCAAAACTTCCTAAATAAAGATCCATAATCAGAACAAATCGAAAAAAGACTGCATCAAACTGAAGAGTTTCTACTGCTTCTTTTTTCAAGAAAGAAATGGTGATTTGGAAAAATGCAGGGAAATAGGAGGAAAATGTTTGCCCCTATTGGTTCTACCACTTAAATAAAAAGGAAATGGCTAAGCCAGGTGCCAGTGACTCAAGCCTGTAATCCTGGCTACTCAGGAGCCTGAGATCTAAGGATCACGTTTCAAAGCCAGCCCGGGACTTTCCCTCATGAGATTCATCTCCAATAAACCACTCAGAAAATCCAGAAGTGGTGTTATGGCTCAAGTGGTAGAGTGCTCACCTTGAGCTGAAGAGTTGAGGGACAGCGCCCAGGCCCAGAGTCGAAGCCTCACAATCAAAAACAACAACAACCACAAAAGGAAATGGCTAATATTCTTGGCATTATTGTCAGTAATTTTTCCTGTTAGGAATTTAATCCTCATGACAACATTGGATATAAGTACTTTTCTCCCACCAACTTACTGGTGAGAAAACCTAACCACAGTGAACATAAAACTTGTCCAGAGTCAAAATCTCGTTTCATATCCCACCCTCTTTTCCACCTTGCATAATTTATGCCTTTCACATAGAACAAAGATGGTCTCTTTTAGTGCTTCAGTGAGTTTCTTTCTAGAATGTCCTAGTATATAATTACATATTTGGAAAAATCACACTGAATATGTTCTATATATATGGTCACCTTAAGGAACTTAACCAGCTCCTTAAAGATTGGCTGTCAGCAATCCCACTTTTGGGCATTTACCCAAATGAGCACAAACAAGGCCACACTAAAGCTACCAGCACAACTATGTTTATTGCAGCATTATTTACCATAGCTAAGACATGGAACCAACCCAGATGCCCCTCAGTAGATGAATGGATCAAGAAGATGTGGTATATATACACAATGGAATTCTATGCCTCCATCAGAAAGAATGACATTGCCCCATTTGTTAGGAAATGGAAAGGCTTGGAAAAAATTATATTAAGTGAAGTAAGCCAGGCCCAAAGAAACATAGGTCCCATGGTTTCCCTTATTTGCAATATCTAGTATAGGTATGAGTCAAGCGGAAAAAGTCAGATAATGTGATGTTAGGAAAACAAAACCTCAAATATGTATTTTAATGTTTTTGTTTCTTTCATGCATGTGTTTCTAATGCATTTATAAGATTATTTCTTTGTTGCTTTGTGTGTCCCTCCCCCACAGTGTAACCCCTGCTTTCACTATATTTGATGTCAGTATAACATGTGGAGGAGACGGGGACAAACAAGTCGTTTAAGGATTCAGGTGGACCTGTTGCAACAATGAGAAGTACAAAATGTCATGTCAAAACCAGCTTTACAATGTCGGTGGGGGGGGGGGAGGGGGGGTATGATTGGGTGGGAGGGAGGGGGGAGGCTGGGAAGGGAGGTGAAGGGTAAACAAAGGAGGAGGATGCAATGCTTGGTAAGAAATGTATGCATTATCCTGCCCATGTAATTGTAACCCCTCTGTACAGTATGTTCTCAAATAAAATAAAATAAAATTTAAAAAAAAAAAAAAAAAAAAAAAAAGATTGGCTGTCAGTTCATGTTATCAAATTGCCTTTTTAGCAGAGTAATAATCCACTGACCAATAAGATTTTATTTCCTTTAGCTCCTGGAGCAGAATACTATCATAAGCAGGTTGTTAAAATAAGCAAAATTCAGTTTGCTGTTGGTTTAGTCCTGTCATCTCAGCCATGTGGGAGGCTGAGATCAATGGGTTCACCATTCCAGGACAGTCTAGGTAAAAAAGTCACCAGAAAGAGAAAGGCATAGCCTGGCACCGGTGGCTCACATCTGTAATCCTAGCTACTGGGGAGGCCGAGATCTGAGGATCATGGTTCAAAGCCAGGCCAGGCAGGGAAGTCCATGAGACTCTTATCTCCAATAAACCACTCAGAAAACTGGAAGTGGAGCTGTGGTTCAAGTGGTAGAGCACTTGCCTTTGAGCTGAAGAGCTGAGGGATAGCACCCAGGCCCAGAGTTCAAGCTGCACAACCAACATAAGAAAGAAAGAAAGAAGGAAAGAAAGACAGAAAGACAGACAGACAGACAGACAGAAAGAAAGAAGGAAAGAAAGAGAGAGAGAGAGATAGGAATGGTGGTGTGTATTTGTATCCATACTAAGGGAGGAATCATAAATACAAGACTCACAGTCCAGTTTGGAAAAAGCAAAAAAGTAAGACCCTATTTCAAAAA